TGTGAAAAGCTTAAAATTATTATAAATAATAATATTAAAAATGAGAAAACTTTTTTAGCAACTCCTAAAATGATTGCAAAATATCTTCCAAAATATGTAAGCGCTCTTAAAAACAGCATAAATTTGAGATCTAGTAACAAATTGGATAATGAAACCAACACAGTAGTTGATGAACCATAATACAACAATAGAATTGAAGTAACAATTGGTAAGGAATATGCCCCAAGGTCTATTAAATAAATAATAATCATTGTTAAATTATCAAATTTAATTAATTAGCTAATAATAATAACATCATACCAAAATAATTCCATAAATCAGTAATATATTTCATTGGGTTCCAAATAAATTGTCTCAATTCAAAATTAAGATGAAACAACCCAAGGATGATTGTAGTAATTAATAATGAATTTTTATTTTTATCAGATAATTGATCTGGTGATGTAGAGGTTGCAATTGCAAAGCATAATAAAAATGCTGTGTAGAAGATCCAAATCCCAAAATAATATTTGAATCCAAAATTATTCCATTTGAAATCCAAAATTACTTGTCCATTCCAATGTTTGTACAACTCTAAGGTATCTAATTCAATAAATTTACTATCTGCTGGCTTATACAATTCTTTCCAAAATGAATATTCATTATTGTATGTAAGTAATCCAGGATATGGAATTACCGATTTTACACCTGGTTTTCCAGGTTTGTCATCTAATTTTTTATTTATAAAATCCATAACTCTTTTATAGTATTTTCTAATATAATTATGATTATAATAAAAATACCAAAAGCTTTTTTCTTTATAAATTGATTTTTCAACATCTATAGCATTATAAAAATTCTTCTCCTCATTGTAAAAATATCTTTCAAATGGAAATAATATCATTGAAGTTTGTTTAATGAATTTTGATACTAAGGTGTGATGATTTTTTTCTAATCTTGGTAATTCTAATATAATCATTTTTAATAAACTAATATTTAAATCAGTATCTTTTATGAAATGACTAAGACAAGAATCAAATACTTTTTCTACTGCAATACTATGATTATTATCTAATGCTATTTTTAACATTTTCTTTCCAAATTTGTTGAAATTATAAAACTCATTGATCATCTCAAACATTTCTTTATAAGGTTGCCTAGAAATTTGATGGTTATCAATATATGAATTTTCAATATATAAAAAGCAATTTTCAAAATCAAATAAATAATCTTCAATTGCATTATTCTCAATAGCTGATTTAATATCATTCAGGGCTCCATGTTTTTTGACCTTTGTAAATATTTTGAAATTTTGGTTGCTAACTGATAAAATGTTTATCTCATAACCATTTAGAAATAAAATTAAGTCATCATTATTCAGCAATTTATAATAATAAAGTTCATCATCACTTTTAAGACCATATTTATTAATTGTTGGTAATTTTTCATCCATTCCATAATTAATTTTTTGAGCTTTTATATTAACATTTTTAAATTTATCATCATATTCTATTGATCATTTAATTAATTTCCCATTTTCAATGATAATTTCTGCTGGTCTTTCAGGCCACACAGGCTGCTCAAATGTTTTAACCATTTCTTGTAATGCTTGCATTACATGTAAACAATAATTATTTTTTATATGTATTTTTTGTTGAATACCTGCTAATTTTTCTTTGTTGATTATTTTTTTAATGTAAAATTGATTGTCTATAACTATGGTTATTTTGCCATTTGGTAAAATTGGACCAAATAAAATTTTTTTTTTTAATTCATTTTCATTTGTATATTTTAAAAGATATTTATTAAAATACTCTGTAATATCCATAAAATCGCCAAGATTATATGGGTCCATTAATTTATATTTATAACTTTTTGTATTTTTATGATAATATATTACTAATAAATATTCTAATTGATCTGCTGAATAAATAAAATCATATTTTTTCATATCAATATTATTTTCCAATTGAGCTGCAAATAGAAAATATATTTATTAAATTTATGGATTAATATAACATGCAAATAATAAGAATATATAAATACTTACTTGCAGAAATAATAATATTATTTTTTAATGAATATACAACTAATGTGAAATCATACCCATAATATAGTGCCATTATTGTTTTATCTTTATTAAATGTAATATTAGTAATAACATTATAGAAACATCCATTTGCTAAATAATAATTATCTTGATATGACATTGTTACACCTTTCCATTGTGATATAAATAAATTATTAGAACTAACCAAAAGATCACCAGAATTTATAAAAGCCCTAGGCCCATAGTAATAATAAGAAAATTTTGGTTTATGAACCATATAATAATATGTTGATTTATGAACCAATTTATTATTGTCATATGAAAAATTGTATAAATGGTAGATATTAGAATCCTCCTCTTTAATCATTAATAAATCATTGCTTGTAATAAAATTCCCACCATAAAAATATTTATTACATGTTTTACCATTAATTATAAAATCACTGTATTTTTTTTTTGTAAAGTCAAGAAATTCTAAAAAGTTAATTTAAATGATTTAAATATTTAGTTATTATAATAATAAAATACATATATTACTTAATAAATAATTACTTACTATGACATTTATTATCCTCACCATGTAAAGTTATATATTTGTTATCAGAAACATCTCCTATATAAACATAATAACTTTTAAAATCCTCTGTAGAATATTTAAAGTAATTATCTTTATCTTGCTGGATAGTTCCATTGTCAATATCAACTGTCCATCCAACAATAGATGAATCTCCCTTACTATTAGTTACTAAAAAATTTAAATTAGGACTATACTTTATTTCATCAACAAGATGTCCATTAAGTGGATCAGTTATATTTGTATTTAAATTAGAATTGTGATTATCTTCTTTCATAATTGATATTTTATCTTCCATAATTTCATCAGTTACTATTTCTATAATTTCATTTGAGCTAAGGTTATTTTTTTCCATTTTTTGTTTTTTTTTTTTTTTGTAAAATAAAAAAATTAAGACACTAATATATGTTTTAATCCTATGAAAAAAAAATAAAGAAAAATAATTACACGAAATTTTTTTTTTATGGTCAAAAATAGGTTTATGAAGATACAAGAGGACAACAATGCAACTAAGAAAAAAATGAAGTTAAGAAAATTACAATGTTATTTATATGCTACGTAGGGTGGGCGCTTAAAATTTCTCTTTAAAGTGTTAAAGTGGGAAGTATTAGCATGTTGTAAAAGGGAAAAATTTCTTGTGTAATGCGCCATTCCAAGAAAATTTTTTTTAATTTGTTAATCAGTATTTTAGTAAATATACCTTTCCGATAGGGTTTTTGTTTGTTTTATTCGTTTTTATTTTCGAATGAGATGTTGTATTAGTATTAGTATTAGTGTTGCAAATAGAAATTCTACTTTCCAAAACAAGTAAAACTTTTTCCTCATTTATATCACTGTATTAATTGCTATGTTGCAAAGCGCCGAACGTCTTGAAAAAGTTCTTGTACAACCAAATAATAATTAATTGACGATCCGTCTATGAATCGGTGAGTGTTATATAGTGATCGGCGGGGGAAAATTGACCAAAAAAACACTAATCGGTAACCTTTTATAAAAAAAAGTTACTATACTTTTGTCTTGCAAGATAAATTTTTTTTGTGCATACAAATAAAATAAATCTCAGAGAACATATTTATGTATTTTTTATTGCTATTAATTATGTAAAGAAAAAAGTTTTCTGTTTATGATATGTTGATTTTTTGAGTTTTTGTATTGAAAAAATCTGATTTTTCCGTGTAACATTTATTAATTTTTATAAATAAAGAAAATGCTTTAGACGTTCTAATAAAAAAATAAAAGTGATACGAAATGTTTATGATTATTTGAAATGTTTATGACTATTTGAAATGTTTAAGACTATTCGAAATTCCATCCATTACCAAAAGTCATGACATAGTCAAAAATGTATTTTTTAATTAAAAAAAAATTGATATATATAAATATATATATTATTGTATTTCCATGCTATTATTGTCGTTATTGTTGCTATTGTCTACATCTTTATTGTCACCATCATCTTCATCTTTATCATCATCATTATTGTCATCTTTTTATAAAATTTGCAATTTAATTTTTGAATAAATATATATTTAATAAAAAATTTATTTAATAAAAAATAGTATTTACTTGTTGTTAATATATATTTGACATGTTTTATTTCTGGTGCGAATGCCATGAATGTGGAATCATTTAAGGACACTTCACTCCATCTATTCCCAAGTTTTAAGTAACATCCAATAACATCATCTTTGAAATCCATAAATTCTTCTATACTGGTCAATAAAGTTTCAAATGTATCATGAGGATCAGTGATTACTGTTTGGAATTTTTTGTTGTTGTTGTGATATATGGTTAAATGCAAGGTTTTGATATTCATTATCAAAAGTTTGAAAAGCAGAGGAAAAACGAAAACAATTTTTTTTTATGTTTATAGAATAATATTACCTTTGTTAAACAGGACTTGTTGGGTAGTGTATTCGCATGGTTGTTAACAAACAATCTAGTAACATGCTCCTAGATGGGAGATCGAATACAATGGAAGACAAGTCCTATTATTATTTTTGAGTTTATTATTAAATAAAAAAAACTATGAATGCAATAATTAATATATACTATAGTTTTTTTTTTATTTTTTACTCAAAATATTCGATTTTTTGATTTTTTTTGCCAATCATTTAATATGAAATTTCCCCCGCATTTCCATAATAAATTGATTGACATTTCTCTGATTCATAGACGGATCATCAATTAATTTTTTGCGTGATATCTGGAAGGGAGATCGTCACATAATTTAGCCAATGAAATCAAATGTCCACTATGCTCCAGACATTAATCTGAAACCAACTTTCTGGTAAATCTTGTTGTGTAAGTGGGTTTGGCTGCATTTCTAACAAATGGACCCTACATAATATTCATTTATTAACATTACATATGAGCTATGAGAACTTTTCTTGTCACTTACCAATCAGCAACTGTTGTTCTCACATGTTCATAAGCGAAATTGACGAGAGGATTATAATCATGACAAAGTCTGGGGTGAGAAGCATATAGTGCTTCACGTATGTCTTTCGTGGAGGTCTATATACAGAGAATTAACTTCTGTTATAAAATTATAGAGGTTTGAAATGGCAACACCCTGACAATTTACCTTTGCAAAGGTATCAATATATTCCAATAGTTCATCTTTTATTTGAGGTGCTTCTTGCATGGTCATTGTTTCACAGATCTCTGTAAGTTCATCAGTGGTAAATCCTGATTGCAGAAATTTGTCCTCAGGATCAACAATAAAGGAATGGATGAGGCTAGAATATGAATGAAATTTAGGTCAGTAAGCAATTATGCATAATAAAAGTACCATTATATGTAACATGGCTCTCTCTCACTTGTGAAATTTAGATTTCTTTCCCAAATCATACAAGATATCTTCCACATATATCCCTGTCTTGAGCTTCCATTTTTTCTCATTTTTCATGGTCTCAAATCTATATATTAGGTGACAGTTAAGTGATATCTACATAGTCAATACTTGCATAAGAGCAAAAAAAGGTTCTTACCGTTGCATAAACAATTCCTTGTCTTGCATAGTGAATTCATCATCATCAGTTGGATTACATAAGGATGTGTTTGATGTAGTGACAATCTTTTCATCAGTATCATCATTTACTTTGCCAGCTTGGTCTTTTCTCATAATTTCCTGATTAACATCAACATCTTTGTCCTGATGTTTGTCAAGTTCATACCAGCTTTCAATATCAATGTCACCTGGCTCATAGCCATTCTCCTTGTTATCATCAAAATCGTCTACTGTCCAGAACTTCTCTTGTATTTTTTCTTCCTTGGTTTTTTCTTTGGGAAACTCAGTTGCCACTGCAATAGTTGCAGCATGTATTCCAACAGTTAGGATCTCATGCTAATGGCAGCCATTTAAAGAAAAGGTTACATTCAGAGTCTTCCATGGTAATACTGTAATAAAGTCAAAAACATTACATACATTGTTTATTCGATTTTCAACAGCTAGCCTTCCTAATTTTGTAGAGTGTTCTTGCCACAATTCAATATTCACTGGATTGTTATGACAATCCTTCAAAAAAAATATAATGGTTATTTGAGAGTATGTGCAAATAATTGTTGTATTAGATGATCGCGTTTGGTAGCTTGCCTAACCATGCATGTTACAACCAGATCTGAAAATCCCAAATTGTAACTTCAAGCAAAGAAACATTTTGCCCTCTGCGACAATGTCGCTCAATTAGCAATTTGCAGGGTGCGATTGTAGGTGAATATCAATGGAACCACCAAGCATATTGGGCCTGAGGGCCCTATAAAGCAAAGAACATTTTGCTTCTGCCCACTTCAAGCAAAGAAACATTTTGCCCTCTGTGACAAAGTCACTCAATTAACAATTGCAGGGCATGCATGATGTTGGTGTCCCTAAAATAATGGCTGAAGAAAAACCTTTCAATTTAGAACAAAAATACTGACCTTCAATAACTTTTGTAATTCAATTACCTTATAATAACCATGGCTTGTTTTTGAAAGCCTTTTTAGAAGAACTTTAAGTTCCAATCCAAGTGACCAATGTGCTTTCATTTTTGTGCTACCAGATGTATGATTGATATAGTATATATCCCAATCACTCAAACTCCCCCATGAATTTGGGTTGCAATTCCAGTAGTCTATGAAAAAGAGACTTAAGTTTTTCTTTCTGCTTGAAATTAATTATGAAAGTCTGGATAGAAGCTTACCTGGGTGATGTAGAGCTCCAAAAAGGTTCGAATCAAAAAGTGATGCCATTATTCAAGAACTGGAGAGTAAAATAATGTATGTATTAAAAAAAATAATATTGTTTTGATGGTGCAATTTTAAGGGTAGAGTGTAGTCATGTGGTTTTTCATAACAACTGAAAGGATAAATTTTTTACAGTGATGATCATTTTCTTATGTCACACATTAAAATAAATTATATAATAATAGTAATAGCTAGGGGTAAGTAAATAAGTGGGGGACAACTCGATGTTACACATATAGATTTTGTGAATCCAAAACTGTCACGCACTATGAAATTACTAGTATTTATTAATAGAAATAAATAAAACGCAAAACGCGTACATATTGTAAAATAAAATTTTATATATCACCACATGTTAAAATTTTTTTCCTTGCAAGAACAAATCTTCAGCTTCCTTTTAATATAACTTTTAGTAAAGAAACTCTCCTATAGCTTTTTTAAAAAGGAAAATCCTATATACAGGACTGGTCCTGTGGCTGAATATACAGGACCTTCCTAATTTGGAAGTGGCACCTATGATCTATGTGAACACTTGCTAATTCATGTGCGTGATGAATAATATAATAAAATTTTATATAAATTTATTATTATTTAAAAAAAAAAAATCATGTCATCATCATTATCAATGGTTTAACAAATTATGAGGAAGTTGTGTAGGATATGGGGGGCTGTAAAATAATACTGTTTAAGAAGTAAAAATAAAATTGTATTATTTTTACAATGAAATGAATGCTTCAAAATTTAATATTATTGATCTTCACAAGAATGACTCTTAAAATACAAATAACCAAAACCA